AAATTATATATTTTTCTGGTATAAATCTGCTGTTTTACATGATTGTTGAATGAAATTAACATAATTATTAATTTATTGTGAAACAGATCTGGTTCAGCTTGCTGTTTATCTATTAGTTTCTATGGTGGCTGTAAGCTGTTGTCCTGTTTGGACGCCATTTCTGCTCCTCCATGCTGTCACAGACACTACCAGTGGATGATATGGGCGGGGCTCAGTCTGGTGATCTTATTCAAGTCTATGGTTTGAGCCTTTTCGCCATCACACCATCTAGCTGGTTGGATCAGACACTCTGATGATATGTGGGTGTTCATATAAATAAAACAATTGTTTTTAGTTCACAGAAATTCCAAAACTAATTTGAAAACTATCATAAATTTGGGCTATTCAAAACCTATAGATTGTAAATTGTAAAGACCCTAAAATTATYGTAAAAAGACATTAATAAACACATGATTTTCTATTGACCTTCCATGAACCACTCGGAGACAGCTAAAGGACTGGATGTAGATGACCAGATATGGTCTAAGCCAAATTCTGCATCTTTTACTTGTTTCTCTGCTCCAGCACACCTGATATGAATAAACAGGTGATTAACAGGCTTCTGCAGAACTTGAAGTAATTCAKTCATTGAATCAGATGTGTTGGRGAAGAGAAACAAGCAAAACTGGCTGGATAGCAGTCCTCCAGTGTCAAGTTGTGTATAGATTTTGACCCAGGGAGCAGGCAAAACTTTGGAAAAAAAAAATCTAAGCATTTATTTAATTAAAACCAAAATGCTGACAGAGCAGCAGAAAACTCACTTTAAGACACTGACGAGCACAGAGGACCAACCAGACTGGCGACAGGACAGGATGCACAGTAAACCGACATGTACAATAGGTTGCCTGTGCTGCCCCAGAACACTACAGGATTTCTCAAACATTCATTGAGATCTATGATCTCAATCAGATTTGCCTGGTTAAACAACGGTAAAATAAAAAAATAAGAAGACAAGACAGAATACAGTAGGTGAGGAAACAAGGAGATGGGAAGAGATGTGAGGATCAGGTGTGCATGGGAGGAGATAGGGAATAACACACAGGCAGGCGTAGGGGAACACAAAAATGACACTAAAACAGACAAATCGCAAGGGGAGTTAAACACGGATCTTCGTCCAGTGCCTGAATTGCCAACTGTTGGCCTAAACATACGTGGCACCGGTTTCAATTGTGCATGAGCACTAACATGAGTGCCGAAGTATTTGTAGGAAATATGAAAAGAAGAAAATCACAATTAGATCAGAAAATAATAGTTTTTCTTGGCAACAATGAAGAAAATGTGCTTTCAGTGCTTGTTTTTTTAAATAAGAAACCCTCTAAAGTAACTGAAACATGATCACTCACTTCACTTACACGGATGTATTTAATGTGTACAACCAGTTGGACTGTTTAAGTAAACTGAGCTGCACAAAATTAGGCTGACAGCTTTACTATTACATTATTATTCTTAAGATAAACACTTTTCTCCGCATTATTTAATTTAATAGTGACAGCTGTATAAAATTTGATAAAACAAAAGATGGAGCTGTTTCTCAGAAAATACTTCTAGATTAGATTATTTTAATGGTTTTTTGAATTTGAAATTTGATTGAAGTGACAAACTGAAAATAAAACTTAGTATTTTTTATGATGACTTCCCAATTAGAAACAAGATGGCATGTGTTTCTCACAATGGTTTTATCAAAACATCCTTTTGATCACACATATATTTCATGCATTTCCTTCTAATTAGGGCTGAACAATATTAGAATGTGTTGCGATGATTATATCAGATGCAATATATCCTTTTTTTCTTTCCTTCTTTTCTAATGTGTACTTCTTACTCTATGTAGCTTTTAGCTTTTTTGCCAATTTCATTTGTGTCTGGTGTGAGCTTTTGCTGCCACACTGAAAAAAATAACTTGTAAGATTTACTTGAAAAAAATCCTCGAAACAATTTGCACTGTTTGTTAAGTAAATTTAAATGCTACAGATTCAAGTAATATTTACTCATCATTATCTAGTAAAAGTTACTAAGAATATAGTTAAAGATTTGTGATGAGTAAATATTACTTGAATTTGTAGCATTTAAATTTACTTAAACGTTAGTGCAAATTGTTACGAGGATTTTTTTGAGTAAATCTTACATAACAGTGCACATGCATCAAGGACAATATTGTAACATGACACCTCACAGCTACAGAGAAAATGTAGCTCTTGTTGTAGTTCAAGACTTCACCACCAGGTGGCAGTTTTGAAGAACCTTTATTGGATTCTTCTTCATGAACAACACAGCCAAAGTGAAACTCACAGGTCTTATTAATGACTACCACTCTCACTTATGGTTACTTCTACTGAATGGTTTAACTCAAGTTAACAAATAATGAACACACAAAATAAAGTAACACAAAAGACTAATCGCTTGTCCTCTCCTAGAAAAGTAAAGCAAGGGAATGAGGAGCAGCAGCCTTTGTGTGTTCATGCGCCCTCAGTTTTAGCCCAGAAGAGTAGAAGTTACTTAATATATTCATGTTTATGTAATGTCCAGAAAAAGCACTTAAACATTACTGGTAAAATAATATTAGTCTTTACGTTTTTTGTACAGTAATATTGATATATAATATAATGCACATTGTTTATTTAGTAAATTCTAGTAGTTTAGAGATTTGGATATTTTCTYGTAAAATTTAAAAAGAATAATAAATGTTACTACACCCAAAAGTTTGTTTTTTCAATGCATGAGACTCTGTCCAACTGGCTAAAAAAAATTGCATTAGCATAAAAACCTTCACATTAGTCAGCAATTATTGCACTCCAAGCAGTGCTTTGTGATATGAATATTGTGCACGGTGATATTGCAATGATGATATTTTTGTGATATATTGTGTGCCCTACTTGAAATATTTACTAAAATGTCAGCAATCCCTGCCCCTCTTTATTTGTATCGTTGCTGAACATTTAAATTTGTGTCACCTTCCTTGTTTGTGACTCAGGTRTGCTGTTCTACTGTAACTATCCCACCAAGCGTCACAACCGCTGCCTTCAGCTGGCCCTGAAAAACCAGGCGGACGTCAACAACGTGTCAAAAAATGGGGTTCACGTCTTCCAGATGATGTGTGAAAAAGCTCATAACTGCTCCTTGTTGTGTCACGTCATGTTAGACGCTGGTGCAGACCCCAACGCAACAAATCAGGTAGAAAACAAGAGATAAAAAAATAAAAATGGGTAATAATGAGAAAAGTTGTTTTTTTTAAACATATCTTTTGCTCTTCTCAGGAAACAGGCATGACAGCGTTAATGGGGGCAGCCTGGGCTGGCTCCCTGCCGCTTGTTCGAGCCATTCTCAGGAGGGGAGGAAACCCCAATGCTCTAGATAAAAAGCACTTCACTGCGGTTCACTATGCTGCTATGGGGGGCTTTTACGAGGTAGTAGCAGCTGTAGTATCTGCTGTGGCACATGACTTTGTCGTAACCCCCACTCATTGGATGACATAAAAAAATATCTGCCAGAAAATGAAGGATATTTGTGGGGTTTGCAGGTTCCCAGGGGTGTGTTAAAACACAGTGAGTTATCCAGTACATGTGATAGGTCATTTGAGCATGGACAAAATGTTGTGGTGAAGTTTTGGTGGTTTATTATCACCAGGGTCCTGGGTGGAGCATGGAAAGTGTGATGGTGGCGTATCGATGACACAGGGCCTGTATGACCTGACATTGTTGGTTTTAGAGAATTTGAAGCATGGTCTCATGCCTAGACTACAACCTCATCACACCCACACTTTACTGGCAACACTCTTCAGTTTTTGCATCACTTTTGGCAGTGCAACTGCTGTTAGCGTTGCATCTACTGCAGCTCTAGCTACAACCAACAACATCAATCTACATTTCACTGCATGTCTGCAAAGATCAATTCTTGCTCTCTCTGTGCCAATAAATACTTCACCATTCTCCATTTTTTTTGTTCACCTTTTGGACACTTGTTCTAATCATGGACAGGCCGGCTTTGCAAAGATGGAAAAAAGGATGGATATGGTTGAGGCTCTGCACAGAAGATCTTTCCTGCCCACAGCCATCAGCATCTACAATAACTTTAGTTAAATGAGTTACAACAACACCTAATTTCCCTCTGGGATCAATTAAGTATTTTTGATTTGAATTGAATTGAAAACCACTAGCATGACCCAAACTGCTGCACATCTTCCTTTTGCTCAGCAGATTCACTGCCTTTTTTCTTTTTTTGGAGGATGGTTTGTTGACATTGAGTAACCCCTCACCAGGTAGGCATCTTTAGGCTGTGTTTTTTTAGCAGTGCACAGCCAAGTGTGAAGCAGCTGGGATAAGAGTCAGCTCCTCCAAGTTCAAGGCCATGGAAGGAATTTCTGAATCAGGTGGAGGAGCTGTATTTGGGAGTCTTGTGTACGAGTAATTGTAAGATGGTGCAGGAGATGGATTGATGAATCAGGACTGTGGCCACAATAATGAGGATATTGTTTTGGTCTGTCATGATGATGAAAGCTGAGCTGAAAAGTTAAGCACTCAATTTACCAGTCCACCCAAACTTCACCTATGTTTATACATTTTGGATTATGACCAAAAGAATGAACTGCTTACAAATGGCTGAAATTAGCTTGCTTTGTTAAGGTCACCAGGCTCAGCCTTGGAGAAACTGTGAAGAGTTCCATCATTCATATGTTGAGCCATTTTCCTCATCAAAAGGAGTCAGCTGAGGTGGTTCAGGCATCTGATAAGAATGCCTCCTAGGGGTCTCCCTTTAAAGGTTTTCTAGTCGTACTGGAGGGAGACCCTACGGAGACAAGGGATGTCTGGGTTTCTCTCCAGGACCTGTTGACCCAACCATGATCAAATTCACAGTTTATGACTGAGTTGTACAAACAGCCTCAAACAGATGTGGCAGTAGTGTCATGGTTTCATGTTGTGATCTTCTAGCATGTAGCTATGTCCTGGTGGATGAGAGAACAATGCCTGGGTGGGACCCAGTGTATGCTGGATGTGTTAGTATCCTGGAAATGTGCTTCTGACATACTGTATAGAGCTTCAGGGTGCAAGAAAGTGTCTTAGAGACATAAAATCAATTCAATTCAGTTTATTCATATAGTGTCAGCCAAGTCACAACAATTGTCATCTCAGGGCACTGAACACAAAATTTAATACTTCTAAAGGGCTCAACACACGGGAGGCGATGTCGCTCGCTCTCCATTCATTTCCTATAGAGCCTGTGCGGTGAGGCGACAATCGCTCGCCCTCCTCCAGCCAAGCGACCGGCGAAAATAGTGCATGTGAAATTTCGCGCTCGTACACATAGACGTGCACACGCAAGCTTGTGACGCGACATATGAAAGTTGAAAAATGTTCAACTTTTGTCGCTGTCGCTTAGCGTACAACCAATCAGCGAGGGTTTCATTGACTGACCAATGAGAGGAGAGTATGCTACACACTGCTGTTAGCTAACACTTTCACCAAGTGATTACTAAAAAGCTTTGTGGAATTTATTGGCACCAGGGTGAAGTTTATGGTAAATTTTTCCTCATAAAAATGTATCTTGATGTGCATTTGTTTTTCAACATCATTAGCATCGCAAGATTTGTTTAGTTTACACGTCCGTAATGCACACCCGCCTTCAGAGTCAAGAACCAATCAAATTTTGTGAAGACAAGTGACCTGAGAGCGCGATTCGCAACGCTGCGATTGCTATCGCGTCCCGTGTGTCGGGTTTCACACAGGCTGTGATGACAGCCGTCAATCGCTGTTGTTTGTCGCTGCCCGTGTGTCGAGCCCTTAAGGAAGTACTAAGAGCATAGCAGTATTATACTTTCACAATAAAAGTTTCCCAWTTTTTGCAATACTGAATTTTTAAGTTGTCAATATTATGTTTTTATTTTTCAATGTAATGCTTCCATGTTGGTATTTTGTACAGTGTTTCACTGTGGTGCTTGTATCTTGCAGGTAATTCAGGTCCTGTCTGCATACTCAGCAGACATGGGTGTGATTAACCTTCATAAGTGCACACCTTTACACTACGCTGCTGCCACAGGCAACGCCAACTGCTGCAAGTTCTTAGCTCAGAGAGGTACAGTTTGAGAAATGAACACTGCAGAATACTTCAGTGTCCTTACCCTACACCGGGGGTCTGCAACCTTTACAATAAAAAGAGCCATTTCTGCACCTCAGCTTGCTAATGAAATGTGCCCAGAGCCGCAAAATAAGCTACAACTGCGATTATCAACTGGTGGTCCGTGGGCCTTTTCAAGGCCTTTTTGTGAACCTTTATGGCCAGTGGAGGTGACATAAACCAAAAAAATATATTGTGATTTTTATTATTTATTATTAGTTTTACACTTCAAGACTGAAGAAAAGACATTCATGCAAAAGAACAATACTGACGATAGTTTATACAGAATTTCATAAAAACTAGTGCAGCTGAACTAGTCAGACATGTTTTTCTCTAATTCTTATTATATAGTCCTAAAGGTGTTTAACGATAACCCTGATAGATTTGAGAGAAAGATTATAGAAAGAAGTTGGATTATTTAGGTAGAAAACAGGCTAGCATAAGCTAACATATTTTACTTTTTGTATTAGTATTTTTTATTAGTATTATTGATTATATATTTGCATAAAATCTATTAGTGTTGTGAGTATAAAATCAAACAAAAATTTATGTTATGTTTGGTCACATTTTCAAAGAGCCACTGCAGAGGGACCAAAGAGCCACATGTGGCCCCAGAGCCGCAGGTTGCAGACCACTGCACTAAATTGATGAGGAAGTGGTGGCCGTGAGAACAAGTGTCTCAGTGCTATAAGGATTTATGTTCTTATATTTGGAATTTGCAAGCTTAAAATATTTCAGTACTTGTAGAGCCAGGAGACAGGAAAATGAATCAGACAGAAGAATATGTAGCTGAAGACACAATCCCAAATTAAATTAGTTCATTTTGAAGTTAGTTTTTTTTAATCTCTAAAACCTTGCTCTGTGTTCAGGTTGTAACCCTAAACTAAAGAACCAGGACAATTTGCTGCCACGTCAAATTGCCAGTGACGCCGGTCACAGCGCAGCAGCCAAGGAGCTTAGAAAAGCAGAGAAGCAGCAGGGAAAAGGCAACAAATCTGAAGGTGTCGGTCTCATGTCAGATCGTTGGGCTCTGATCCTTCACGACTGGTCGAATGAGTTTCAGGCTGAAATACGGCAAGCCTTTGGGGACACAACAGTTCCTTCAGAGATGTTTGTTTCGGTGTTAGAGAGGCTAAAGGCTCCTGTTAAACCAGATTATCTCCAGAAAGTTGTCTCAGCCCATGACGAGAAAGAAGAGGGAAGGATCAGCATTACTGACTTTATCAAAGGTGTCAAATATATCAAGAAAGCCTTTCTCCTCTCCGCTCCAATGCCAAAAAAGAAAAAGGAGGGAAAGGGAAGAAAAGGAGGGAAGAAGAAGAAGGGTAAATTTGTCCTCCCCATGCCCATTTGTACCCTTCTGCCCGAACTGAAGTCCCGGCGACCTGACGGAGGCCCTCCCCACTACATGATCGAAACGTACTACAACGGCTCTGACATGCATAGATTCCCTGATCACCCACCAAAACATCCCATAATTAACGATTCAGGGTGGTACATGGAGAAGCCAGACAAAGTGTACGTCAATATCAACAACTGTGTGAAAAGTGGAAATCTAGAGACTCTGGACCTTGCGTTCAATAAGGGGGTACCTGTGGATGTTCAGGATGAATATTACAAGACGCCACTGATGGTGGCCTGCTCCAGCGGAAACCTTGAGGTGGTTCAGTACCTCCTGAGCCACAGGTAAGAAGAATCATGTTGTCTGTTAGAGCTCACATTTCCATTCAGGTTGACTCAGTGGTTAATTGTTCTTCATTTTATGTTCTTCATTTTATGGTAGACTGTATTTATAGGCAATGAAAACACAACCCTCAAATCTTTGCTTATGAAGTAAAAACATCAGCATCCAACATATTTTTTTATACAGCTCACAACTCAATTAGGACTTACTTATGCAAAAATCCAAGCTGACAAAAAGATGTTTTGATGTATAAATTGCAGAAAAAGTGTAAAAAGACATGATCAACAACATATTTGTTAAAGTTGCTGCCTGTGGCTTTTTATCTAACACACTTGTGTCTCTTACTCCCTGAAAAACCATTCCTCACCAAGCATTCAAACAGATAAAAAGAAGAAACAGTCAGTGCTAATGACATTTTTACATAAGCCCAGTCTGGCCCAGCCTGTAACGTTTCCGCTGAATTCTGTCTGGCAATAGCTAATCTTTTGTTGACCTTCCTCTTGCTCTGTTTCAACTGTTCCTGTATTACAGAGCAGGGGTTCCCAAACTTTTCCATGCCAAGAACCCCCAAACAACTTTAGCTTCTGGCCAAGGACCCCCTTGCAAGTTGACAATAAAATACATCAATAAATGTAAAGAAATATTCATTTTTTTAGAATGTTTTTTCTCACTTTTATTCACCAGTGAATAGCTGTAAAGTTATTCTTAATGCATGCTGCCTCAAACTTCCTGATTTTACTTGGCCAGCAGCAGTGTCCTCCATAGCAGGGCTGCTGGTTGGTTCGTTTGGCCTTTTTTTGTCACAAATTTGTCGATTGCTATGCTAGCTTCAAACTGAATGAGCTATTAACCTTGGAAGAACTGCTGCCTGGGTGGTTCTTGTAAGTTTAGTTCTGATAGCGGGAACAAACCCAGAACAACAACAAAATAGAGAGAAGCATGGTTGTAGCAAAACTGAAGACCTTTTTGTTAAAAAATAAAGACATCATGTAAATATCTCTAAAAATGGGACAGCAAATTTATAAATAAATAAATGTGCTTTAATTCCCTTTTCTGCTTTCATTTAGGCTCTTATAAGAATGTCTACAGCATTTCAGTGTCAACAAAGTTATATCTATCAGATTCTGATCACCTAACTGAATTTTTAAGTGGTTCACAAGTGGCTATTTTACATTTCTTGTACATCTGTCTTAAAATGTAAGGCATACAGGGGCCAGGTTGGGATGTAGAGTAGATGACTCATAGTGGGGCACTTTAAAATTTCCTTTATTTTCAAAAATAGTACGGGGTAGGAGTTTATAAGTTTTTTACTTCTTCCTGCTCTATTTTGAACATGTTGAGATTATTATTGGCATAAAATATGTGTATTTTGTATTTAATATGTGTAATGTGTACGTTTAACTTATGATCATCTCTTTGTATTGTATGGTCATCATGTTCAAAATAAATTTGTTTGATTGAAATGTAAAACTTGACAGATCAGAGAGATGAACATGGGAAATGACCTTTCAATATATTGTTATAAATTATATTTAAAATAGTAATTGAAAAACAGGCTGAATATTTTGTTAATATTTTCCATTTTTATTTAAACTTTTTGTCCCCTAGAGGTTTTGATGTTTTTGCTCAAAATACC